CCCGCCCCTCTTCATTCCATTCCCACTTATCATTTCGCATTTTCTGCCATGTTCATTCCTGTTTACTTGGGATTCAAACCTCTATACTGTCCCCGTCGTTTTATGCAAGAAAAATTCTGAAATTATGCAAAATGAGCCCAAAAATGTGAAATTATGCGATTCTGTTAATTTTAACAAAGAATGATAAAGGAAAATAATCCGAAATTAAGCAAAAAATTATCAAATTTTGCTAAATTATGCGGGCCGCATAAAACCACGGGGACAGTCTATATTATCCAGGTGAAAGGGGATATTGAAATGTGTACATTCAGATTTGTGTGCATCCGACTACTGGACTGTCTGCAGCCCATCGACAATAAAAAAAAAACCAAAAAAACTGTTGTTTAAAAACTTTTTGAAAACTACACCCTGTCGTAAAAATAATAATATCAAATTTGGAACCAGTGTATCAATAGTAACAAAAGCTAATGATTCGCGCCTATCTCTTTCTCTTGCTGGATCATTTAGATCACAAAAAGGAAGAGCATTGTATTTTGAACCAAGATTGCATCGTGTAGTATTTTCTTATAAATCACAATTTAAAGGAGATGCAACTGTCAGTTTTAACTGAACATGATAGTAATACAATTAATGGAGGCCTACATAGGCCTACCCCTCAATATTAACAAACTAGGGCATTTCGGTAGCAGACGGGTGTATCAAAAGTTGTGAACTGAGGTTTGTAGAAATTACAATGATAAGAGTGAGAGAGAGAGAGAGGGAGAGAGAGAGAGAGAGAGAGAGAGAGAGAGAGAGAGAGAGAGAGAGAGAGAGAGAGAGAGAGAAAGAGAGAGGAGGGCGAGAGAGAGAAAGAGGGAGAGAAAAAAAGAAATGGAGGAAGAGAGGGGGAGAGAGAAGGAGAGAGGGGTGAGGGGAGAGGGAAATGGAAAGAGAGAGAGAGAGCGAGAGAGAGAGAGAGAGAGAGAGAAATAAAGAAAGAAAGAGAGAGAAATCAGGTAGTACCTGACTGATTTTATCATATACAGCCATGTGTACAGATTATAACGTTCCTTTAGTATTGGCCTTATTCTTCAGTATGTTTTTCAATAGAGGTGTGTTTTAAATGTTGAAAGCATAGCTCTAGACTTACTCACAGGGTTTTATTCCCATACAGAATTACATAATATGTTGGGGCAGGAAACCAATTTTCCCAACAACCAATACCAGTTTGGACAAAACCATCCAAATTAAACCTGGTGATATAGCCCAAATTCAAAGCCAAGAAACTTTTATCTAGGGTGTTCTGTGAGAATATAAAGAGAAGCACACTGCTTGAATAATAATAATAATAATAATAATAATAATAATAAAGATTACAGTCATTAGGCTCTAAGAGAAAGAAAGACAAAGAACAAAAGACAAAGAGAAGAGGATTCAGCTTCCTTTCGACTATAACTATAAGTTATAAGAGAGTGGGACGAAAAAGAGTAGAAAAAAGAATAAAAAGGATGAAACAAAAGAAGAAAAACTGATTTTACTAATCTGTGAGTAAATGCATGGATGGTCACCAAAGGTCTACATTTCTACAGACACACACGACATGTGCATATACTACATGCATACAGTAGTGGAGTCTATGGTTTCGCCAGGTTTTGGGTACAAGGAGATTGTTCAAATTGAGAGAAAAAAATCAGAGATTTTCTTTTGGATTAACTGTTTTCAGATTAACTGTGTTCAGTTTAAACAGATTCTACTGTATATTCTGTCCAACTTGATCTAACAAAATACCTGTCCAAGAGAATCACTTTCTTGTACAAACAACCTCTTCCCACCGCCACCTCCCATCCCCTTGCATTTTTTTCAATATTATAATGACACTGTCCATTAGAACCACCTATGTAACATGACCACTTTGGGTTCGTCTTAGGGATTCTTTCAAATCTAATCTATAAAGAAATAGGAACTCTGCAGTACTTTTGCAAAAATTTGAAAAAAATATTCTTTCAAGATGCTAAAAAACTTGTGACAAAGTGATCCGAGACACGAAATTGCCCGTTTAAGCAATAGCGGTTATGTAACACACATGGTATAAAAAACAAGAAAACAGACAGTTGAAAAAACAAAAGGATTGACTTGAAAAAAAGTGTATAGTTTACAGAGCTCACCAAAAGGTGGCTGTTGTCATGGAGATGTGCTGTAAACTATGAACTCAGGGCAACAACAGCAACAATAAATAATAACTTTCCACTAACTTTCTTTACGTAAGAAATTTTTTCTCAGACAAATAACAGCACCAAAACAAAAGTAACAACTGTGTTCTTTTTATTTGTCTCGTCATACAATAACACAATCAAATCTCATACACTGCATTTAAAGTAAATATAATATAAAAGTATTACTTCTTACAAATCAATTCATCAGATGTACAAAACCTATTACACATTTACTCCAACAACACAAGAAAATTTTTTCTGTTGTGGAGACCACATCCACCTCCCTCCCCTACTCGCTGACTGCCATTAACTTGGAGATAAGACACAATAAAACTGTAGGGCACCTACAGCTGCTAGGGAATAAAAAATAAAATAATCCACTTTTTTTTTAATAAAGATATACCACCGTGATTAGCAGAACAAGACACAGCAAACATACTAATAATTCCATATTTGGATAGAAAATATATAATGTATACAAAGGAATCTACTTAAACCTAAATCAGTGCAACCAGTGGATTTTATTTGGTTCAACCGGGTTTTCAGTTTAGAAATATACAGCTCAAATAGAAAAAAAATCTGGGATTGTATTTTCTTTCACTTCACCGCTGTTTTCAGATTAGTCGTGTTCCATTTAAGCGGACTCCATTGTAACTCTGAATACAAAGAAGCAATGTGAAAATTCATAATATATTATATCGTTGACCAATTAATTACTTCTGGCATATGTAAATCTTGGGGAAATATGGCATATCATTTCACAGTTGATAGAAGGCTTGATTTGTTTGACAACTGTATGTTGTAGTGGAAGCCACTTAAGGATGGGCATGAACTGAAATCGAATAGGGCTAATTTCCAACAACACTACATTTTCAAATACAAAGTCTCTCTCTCTCTCTCTCTCTCTCTCTCTCTCTCTCTCTCTCTCTCTCTTTCTCTCACTCAAACGAACACATGCAAATACACATATTATATATATACACACTCCAACTTCTACACATATATGCAAACACTCATACTCTTATGCACACTTTTTTTTAAAGACAAAACCTGATCAAATTTTCTCAACAATGTTTTTTACATTCTTTCTCTCCACACAGGATACGTTCTGTAAACTTCAAGACTCAAACCAAGAGTGTTATGAGTATGAGCTAAATTTCGTATACATGACTGAGGAAACAAAGCCTGTGGTTTGAATTTCTCTCCCTTCCAAGCATCTTTTTCCAGCAAGTAAAACCATTCAGACATTTTGAGTCCAGTCATACGGTTTCCACCACTGCTCAAACTGAAGAACTTTGTTCCTTTGGCTTTCAAAGTTCTCTTTATGTGGTTTCCGCCATAATGTTGGCTCAGCATCTATCATTCCTCCGACAATTTCCTGGAGAAGAGTGAAAAATGGTACTATTAAATGACACATTAAAAAAAAAACAATAACAAAGCTGCACGAACTGAGTGAGACTTCTATCCAAACAAAAAGAGTTGAAAAGGCTTTAAGGGCACAACTTGTTACTTGTTTAGCAACATCAATCATGTTATGACGTGCTCTGTAGTCAGTATAGTAAGACGGTAATTTACTTACTCACTTACTCTCTCCCTGTGTACCATCATGTACATAAAGGTAAAAAGCGGTCAATGCCATGTTTGTCTGTTCCTGGCCACTTCCTCTAATCTTTGCATATCTAGGGCCTGGGTGGTTGCCTAATCCCTGACTGTGCTTCTGTAACTTTCAGTTGGCCTACCTCTTCTTCTTTCTCCAACTAGTCTCCAGTATCATATCCGATATATAAAGGTCAATCTTGTCTGTGGCATTCTCAAAACATGTCCTAAATATCTCCATTGTCTCCTTTTTTAGTTGCGTTGATATACTCATCGTGGCTAAATTAGAGGGAAACCTTTTTGGCATAGGTGTCATCCAAATATATGCACCAACATCAGAGCACGACAACGAAGAAATTGAGACTTTTTATGAAGACCTTGATAAGGCAATGAAACATTTAAAATCACAAGATGTAAAGATAGTCGTGGGAGACTTTAATGCCAAAGTAGGAAGTACACGTATAGAAGATATAGTTGGGCCATGGGGACTGGGTAAAGAGATTGAACACGGGGAATGACTGGTAGGGTGGTGCAGAGAAAATAATTTTTTGATATCAAACACCTGATATGAAAATCACCCAAGAAGACGATACACTTGGAAGAGTCCTGGCGATAGAAGTAGAAATCAAATAGACTTCATACTTATTCAGAAACGTTTTAGAAACACAATCAAATCGTCTAAATCACTGCCAGGAGCAGACTGTGATAGTGACCATGTACCAGTCATGTGTAAAATCCGGATAAGACTGAAGAAACTCAAAAAGTCAAAGTATCAACCTAAATTTGACATAGGTCTTTTAAAGACAAATCAAAAACTGAAAAAACCTTTCTCCAAATATGTAAGAAATAAATTTCAAGCCTTGGAAAACATTACTAAATCGGAAGAACTATGGAGGAAAATGAAAGACTCAATAATGGAAGCTGTGGAAGAGAATATCCCCCCGAAAGCTAAAAAAGCTAATAAAAAATGGATGACCCAGGACATATTTAAACTAATGGAAGAGAGAAGAAAGGCAAAATCAAATGTGGAAAAGTACAACATCTTAAACAGGGAAATAAAGACAAAATGCAAGGAAGCAAAAGAAACATGGATAAATGATCAGTGTCAACAAATAGAGAAGAACCAAAACAAGGACAGCAAATACATGCATTCCAAAATCAAAGAAGTAAGTGGGATAAAAGGATGCTCAAATACAGGATGCATAAGATCAAAGGGAGGAGATATTTTAATGGACAACCGGGATGTCTTAAACAGATGGTCAGAATACATAGAAGAACTTTTCAAAGATAATAGAGGAGAAAAACCGGTAATAAAGAATGAAATAAACGGACCACCAATACTGAAAGCAGAAGTACAAGCTGCCATTAGGAAAATGAAACAAGGAAAAGCCACAGGGCCAGATAATATTCCAGTTGAAGTGATTGTCGCGCTTGAAGAACTAGGCACTGAAATAACCACAAAGCTCCTAAATGCTATTTATGACAGCGGTGAGATCCCAGAAGATATGATGAAGTCAGTATTTATAGCTTTACCTAAAACACCAGGTGCCACTGAGTGTGATATGCAAAGAACAATTAGCCTTATGAGTCATTTTACAAAAATATTGCTGCGAGTAATAATGGGAAGATTGAGAAAAAGAATAAGACCAGAGATATCTAAAACGCAATTCGGCTTTGTTCCTGACAAGGGCACCAGAAATGCTATATTCACCTAAACAATGTTAATGGAAAGATGTATTGAAGCACAGAAAGATCTGTATTTATGCTTCATAGATTATTCAAAGGCGTTCGACAAAGTTAGACATGATGAGCTATTTATACTGGAAAAGCTAGACATAGATGGAAAAGATCTAAGAATTATCAGAAATTTGTACTGGGACCAAAACGCTGCAGTACGAATTAATGGAGAATACAGTGAATATAAGCAGATTAGGCGAGGAGTGAGGCAAGGATGTGTTATGTCTCCAGACCTCTTTAACATGTACAGTGAAACAATCCTTAGAAACATAGAAGAATGTCCACGCCTCAAAGTAAATGGAAAAAATATTAATAACATCAGGTATGCAGATGACACAGTTTTAATAGCAGGCTCCGAAAAGGACCTTCAATTGCTTCTAGATACTGTTGTAACAGAGAGTGAACGTAAAGGATTATTGTTGAATGTAAAGAAAACAGAATGTATGGTAATATCCAAAAAAGCAGCCAATCCTAGTTGTAATCTCATTAGCAAAGGGGAAAAGATCCAACAAGTCCAACAGTTTAAATATCTAGAATATATAATAACATCTGATGCCAAATGTTCCACAGAAATAAAAAGAAGAACTGCAATGGCTAAGGCTAGTTTCAATAAAATGAGCCCAATCCTGAAAAATAGAAACATCTCAATGAACACCAAAATGAAAGTCCTGAAATGCTATGTTTGGTCAACCCTTCTCTATGGCTGTGAATGCTGGACAATCACTAAAGACAGTGAAAAAAAATAGAAGCTACAGAAATGTGGTTTCTTAGGAGACTGCTAAGAGTATCGTGGAAGGAAAAGAAATCAAATGAGGTAGTGCTTGATGAAGCCCACGAGGGACAATCAATGTTAAAAACAATCAGGAAAAGACAAATGCAGTTTTTGGGACACCTGAATAGACATAAGGGTCTTGAACATCTAGCTCTCACTGGAAAAATTGAGGGCAAGCGAGGCAGGGGTAGGCCCAGAGCAACATACTTACAAATGGGTGACAGCGAGAGATCAAGGAAACGTAGCTTTTTTGAGAGCATCCGAGCAAAGGAATGAATGGAAAACCATGATCACCGATGTCTGTCGCAGATCTGGCACTGGATGATGATGATGATATACTCAATCCCAGCTCTTTCCAACACTTCATTATTTAGACTGTAACTTGGCTCATTCTTTTTTTTATATGGTCAGGGGTTATCTTAACCACTTATGCTTCAAGTTGATACAAAATGCTGGATGAAAAACAAAAATGTGCACCCAAAAAAAAATAATTTTTAATGATCACAAAAACAAATAGAAAAGGGAAATGTTATACTCAAATAGTCAAAATTGTGAAACTGCCAACTTCATAAGGTGTTGAGTAGTGTACTGAGAGTATACAAAAGACTTTAAAAATTTATGCAGAGCTTCCAGCAGCTGGTGTCATTTTTCGAGGACTTTTGGGTCGCGCCCTGGCAGGGGGTTAAAGGGGGATGGCATCCCCCTTACGTTTGAAATTTTTGGGTTTCAGGGCATCCTAAGTAGGTCATCTCTGGCTATTCAAGCCTAAATTTAACAAGAAAATAAGTGAGAAAAAAACAAACCTAGCATACATTATTTTCTGCTTGGGTTAATCCATATATAAATCCAAAGCCATGCTTTCTCCCTTGTACTGATACTGTACATCCACAACAGTAATATAACAGCTAGATCTATAAAACTTGACTGTTAATGTTCAACTTTATTTCTGCATGTGTTGGTTTGCACCATATAATGTGTAGAATCCTCATTATTATAATAGTATAACAGCCAGAATCTAGATCTAAAAAATAGCTTGACAGCTTATATTCAACTTAAAACCACAACAATATGTACAAATAAACAAGTGTGGTGAAAAAACCAAGCTCTCTTCAGAGTTTTCTTTTCTTGGCAGGCCCAAGATCTATTGAACCACAATCGTCATACATCTTCCTCTTGTTTACAGTGCTGGTGCTCTGCTTGTGCAAGTGAAAGTAAAAGAAACTGTCTACACTTTCAAATAAAAGAGCACTTCCGGTATGGGTTGGCTATTGTTGACTATTAACTATTAGTAATTACGGAAACTTTTTACGACGCATTTTTGAAAATAATTTTTCTTTTAATTTTTTTTTTTTTGCATGAATTTTCACTGAAATTTTTCCATTTGCGGAATTTTTCTAATTTGCGGAAGACTGGAAGCACTGTCTATGGTCAATGTCACATTAAAACAGCACATCATACGACTATCTCACCCTTCCAAAGTATGCTGGGAAAGTCGCCTCATCTTCAATGACAGTAGCAAAACCTCCCTGGAGGCCAAAGTCCACAGCAAAGTAAGGGAAGCCCTTCGGAATCTGAACACAAAAATAGATTTGCAAATGCATTATTAAATCAAAATCATGAGAGGAAATAATAATTTTTAAAAGTCAAAAGACCATATCTAAGTTTCCACAGTTTGATGTGGAACCAAAGACACATGGTCCCTTCCTGGACCAGAGACTGACTTGTCATAGGATTATTATCCAATCCCAAACACCACCTAAATACCCCCTACCCCAGTCAATATTTCTAGCCCTCTCCCAATTTTCTGGTTGGTCCAGGACGGTCTTCTGATTGGTTTTAATTCCTATCTGCTTCTTCGCCCTAGCTGTCTAACTAAACAACTTCACTTGTACACCAATTAATCCACATTTTCATGAATGTCCCACTCTCTGACCAAAACACAGCGCCTCGTGCCTTGTTCATTTTACACTCTCTGTTCATTGCAGACACAGACGTTCATCATGGAAAAAAAAACATTCAAGCTGTGCTCAGATTTTTTTAAGTTTTAACCCTTCCAGCTCCAGCCATTTTTGTGCACTCCCTAACCCCAGTCCCAGCCAATAAAGCAGTATTTCCGAAAAAGAGGCTTTCAATATTCATTCTAAAAAGTGATGTAGTATCTTTGTAATGAAGTTTGGATTATAACATATAACAATGTTTAAAGGTAAATGAAAAAATATCATGAAAATTAAAGTTTAATTAGATTTGCTAATTTCGAAAAATGCGCAAATTCAGTACCCCCTGAAACTGAGAATATACGCTCTTGGGACAGAGGGAGGTACAAGCGCTGCTGAAAATATACACGCATGGGGCTGGAAACGTTTAAAAAATAAGTTAAAAAGCATCAAATTCAAACAGGCATAACTTGTTCTTGGTAGAGAAACTAATAAATATCAGTTTAAACTTGAAGGTCTCACCGAACCAACAGTCACACTGCAAATATTAGTGGAATGAGATTTCCTTCATAATTAGTAATAGGAAAATCCCAATAGTAGTCCACAGCAAAAAGAAAAAGCTCCAGGACAATGATGGGAGATTTAGTTACACAGCCAGCTGCACATCATGAGAAATGACCTGCCATGTAGGCAGGGGCTTGGCGTCACTTCCACAGAAGGTGGCGCCAAGAATAAATTTATGCTCAACAAAAAGTATTGCCTACTTATTACAGGCCTATAATCTGTAGACTTACTATACGCCTCTTCGTTTAACTTTAATACTGATACAGGGACACCTATTATATCCATGTGAAAAGAATAGATATGTGCCGGTACAATCTTTTATATAGAGAGAGAACTGATGATAAAGAACCAAGTTCGGCGCTCAAGATGCGCCAATCACATCACATTTTAACTGTTCACACACAAAACAATAACTTCCCACGGATCAACAGAAAAGCCCACATTCACAGTCAAGAACACGCATGCACTATTGCCCTCGGGGCGTCTTGACATAATTACCCCATTCCCTGATTCGCCTGCAGTTCTGGTTTCTAGAAAGCAGACAATAAAACCTATTTTTACACAGTTCGCAACGATGCCATGTCCAGGCTAACTACTACTCCTTCCCCTCCCTACCAAACAGGCGCCAAATCCATCTTGGCCCTTTGTTCCAACAGTACAATCTCTTAGAGTGATGGGAGTACCTGTTGTAGCATTTTTGGCTGAGTTATGTTCTTGGGGATATCTCTCGTGTCTTCCGTCAAATGTCTGGATGGGTATTAAAGAAACTTTCTTGCTATTGTTGGAAAGAAAACCTTGTTTTCAATTGACTGAATCAAATAGTTTATAGATCATTTTGAATTATTTTGACCAGACTTCACACCTAAACAATGAACACCCAGATGGGTTCAGGCAGAGACACTGGTTCAGGTAGCGCCGATCTGGGCTCGGCGCCCTCAGTGACGTCAGACGTAGTGAACGAAAGACGCTGGGAGACCCTTGCCACAGGCCACGGGAGGCTTACCCGCCCTCCTCCCACAGGCCTAATTATAGACACATTAACTGAAGACTGGCGTACTTAGGGACGAACACTGGATAAGAGATTTGTTTGAAAAAATATTGTGATATTTTGTTAAGTTTTGGAAAATCATATTCCTTTTTTGAAAATCCCTTCTCCATTTCAAAGGGAGGCGCCATGGCGCCATTTGCGCTTGGATAGCCACGCCACTGCATGTAGGTGGGACAGTGTCTAATACTGCAGACGGTCTAGAGACCAAATCTCTTGACTCACCGCACGTCTGACATCTTTCTTGCTCAGGTCTATCAGCTTCTTGTTGTCAGCCCACTCAGGTCCCACTTCCTGAATAGCTTTCTATGGGAGTGGAAAAATGTTTACAAATTTGAATAAAAACCCACATTTTCAAACAAATAACAAAATAAACTTGAACGCGTCATGATACTGCTGTCAATGTCCTTTTCACTTTTGAAATGAAATTGGAATAAACAAAATGTTATGTGTAGTACATCGCACTTGAGTTCATGAGTAACAGTTCAGTGAAAGTGTCCAGGCTGTCCAAACGTCTCTTATTTCAAAAGTTCTCATCATCTATTTCCTTGAACGACATCAATGGAAAAAAACAGACTTTCACTTGAATAACACAAGATGGCTTCAGTGGCAAAAATGGGAGAGTTACATTTTAGAGATTCTGAGAATTCGCAGTTTCAAAATTTGGACCCTCATATCTAAAAAAAGATCATATTTTCTCAGCTTATTTGTACAAGGAAGACCCTGTTAATTTTATCCCTTTAAAATATTATTTTATATTTTACCGTTGAGTCAAGAAGCCCCAATGGGGTACGACTCAAAATAATGTTTTAAAATGTGACCGCTGTTTTTCCCCACTGTAGTCTTCACATACTTTGAAGTAGATAGGGGACAGGTCCCCCACTTCTCTCTCCAGGGGCACACACTCTAACGCTGTGTGTGGGAAGTGCTTGATATGCATCACAGTTTCCATGATGACAACATCCTGGTCTTGAGCAGCAAACATCTGGACCAGACTCTTGCGGAAAAGCTGGAAATAGAAATAGAAATTATGAGATACTGATTTCTTTGACAGAGGTTGGTGGGTGCCCTGGTGTTGTCTGGTCCTTCTTTCCTGTCAAACAGCTGTTGTTATTATCACGCCTCCTTTCCTTTGTATGTTCCTCTACTAATCTTCATCATTAATATGACCAATTTCTGCTTCTTCTTTCCTATCAAAAAGCTGTCGTTCTTATCTCTCCTCCTTTTCTTTGTATATTGCTCTCTAATAACGCTTCTAATCTTCGACATTTATATGATCTATCTGTGTTGCAAGTACCAACAAACTCTTACTAATTTTAGACTAAAACTGAGTTCTTCAGAGTAAAGAGAAGCATATCAACATAATTAATAAGTCATCCCGTGAGTGAGAAAGGATGAAACCAACACGTGAGTGAGAAAGGATGAAACCAACACATGAGTGAGAAAGGATGAAACCAACACGTGAGTGAGAAAGGATGAAACCAACACGTGAGTGAGAAAGGATGAAACCAACACGTGAGTGAGAAAGGATGAAACCAACAGAAATAACACAGGGAAAGAAAGAAGAGCAGTACTCCCCGACCACCCCCTAAAAAAAAACAACTGAGGAAATCAAGAATAGAAGAACGATAGATGGTCAGGACAGTTCGGCGAACAAAAGGCAGAGCAAAGTAACTGCTCATTTCATGATTTTGACCCAAAAATGCAAAACTCTTGATGCCTATTATTGAGATCAGTCCCTTACGAAACTTTACCATTTTGAAAACTTCTACAAATTTGGATGTAGATATGTCATCCTATTTTGACGCGAGAAGGATACGGGCCAGAATTGTGTTATAAAAAAACCTGCAATAAAGCCAAAAAACTCCATTTTGTCAAATACATCACTCTGCCTTGGGACGGCAGAGTTGCATAACTACACACAATAGGGTAATAGGGTCAGTGTTAGACTGGTCTTAGTTTTAGTGTAGTAGAGGTGATTCGGCGATCGCAACTGTATAAGTTCATATAAGCACCAAGGGATGGATGTCAACAGAGAAGTCCTTACAGGGAATCATTGTCTTACTCAGCTCACTTCTCTAGCTTCAACAGCACAAAGTCTGCTTCGACTATCAAGGAACCCCGGAAATAGTGGGTCAAAAGAGTGTGACAAACATACAAGGTAGAGGAAAATGACGATAGCAAGGATTAGGAAAGAAAAAGCAGTTCAGGCACAGTTACGAGCATAAGATTGAGGAGTCAGCCCATTTAGATGTACAATTCTACTGAGCATAAGAACTCAAGAGGTTATTGTCCCCCCTTTGGGAATGGCCTAAAGACACTTCAGACAGTGGCACTTCCCCCGCGGGTATTGTCTACATTCTATGTTCATGACAAGGGTGCATGCTACTAATTAGGTTTATGTAGCACGTCAGGAAATAAATCAGTTGCAGTAAACATAAGAAAAGCATCGACATCAATATTGACACATTAAAGACCAGATCTAACATGCAATGCCTTTGTAAAATAGCACATCAAACAAAAAGCATTATTTGAGAGTAAATTACGCCACAGCCGTTGTCTCGTGTCATCCTAGGAGTGAGGAAGACACGTCATGGCTCTTCAAGCCAATCTGTCCTGCACCATTATTGAGCACTCAGCCTTCTTTTTAGTAAGACCTTGCGACACAATTAAATAAACACTAGAGACACAATTAGGTCATATAAGTTACGAAGATTAGATGTGTTACAAGAGAGTACTAAACATAAAAAGGAGAGATAAGAACAATAGACAGTAATTGATAAGAAAAAAGGAGCAAACCACACCAGAGCACCCACAAACTACTCACTTCTGCCTCCTGTCTAATTCTTTTTAAAAATGTTCTCTGTCCATTGGCTTCTTGGTTGTCCTCTCTCTAACATTTAACTCCCAGCACTGTTTTCAGTTATCAATCATGCATCACTATGTGTCAAAAAACATCAATAAAAATTTTTGCACAGCATTTAAGAGTGATTTCTCGACTCCGAGCAAAAGGAGTTCTTCATCTTTTGATATATGTGTCACGATGCGGTGGACTCAGGCGCTCGTCAATTTAGGGGTATATGGTGTTATTGGTATCATCTTAAAGCCTGCCCATTTCCCTTGCTTTTGACGACAAAAATATCCATTTATCTTGGATGCAAGTCAAGATATTGGCTATTGAAGGAAGTGGGGTTGCCTGGTTTCTGAGGTATAATTGGCCTGAAAATGGTCGCCAAAGTTGAGTTATTTCCTTAGCTTAAAGGTCTGTGGAAACTGAATATTTACCTCTTTTATGCCTTTGATCAATGTTTTTCAGTAAAATTCACACATAAATATGTTCTTTGGTGGGCATGAAAGGTGTTGAGCCAAAAAACAAAAATTTGATAAAAATTCCCAAACCTGCAGAAATATGCCAGTTTCTTGACTTTCAATTTTTTTGATGAGCGTCTGATTTCACAACAATGCCTCACATTTAGTCTCGTCAATGAATCTATGCCATTTTTCTGTTGAATCTAACCACGCTACCCACCTGCATTTCCTGCCAGATGTCTTCGTCAAGAGCTGTGCCAGCAGAGACGTGCTGCATGGGAACAATGAGACAATGTCCTTCTGTCAGGGAGCGATGTTGGGGCAGGCACAGGTAGCTCTGAGCACAGATGGTAGAGGGGAACCATAAATATATATACCTTGACAAAACAAACTTCATACAACCAGAGAATTTCTTCCAGTTAAGCAGATTTCATGTTACAGGGAAGTTGCAAAGCATAAGATAAAAAGGTGAAAAAAAAACTGGCGATTTGAAATCCTTTCGTGGTAACAACATTTTCATGTTTAATAGATTTGTGTTAAAAACTACCATGCATGCAAATGGTACACTTGACTAGTGTCATACTAAAGGGAAATGAATACGGTTAAGAAAAGATTAATAAATAAATTAACACATCTCCTAAACTGTTATTGTCAAGTGTAAAAAATATCATCATTGAGCCTGGCTTCCCCAGGTCGCCACAAATATACAATATAGCAGAAACTGTGGTATTCTCAACTTCAAGCCTGAGAAGACAGATACATGTCTGTTATTGCATTTTCTTAGGAGCTTATTAAACGGTATTCTTCTTAATGTTACAAATGTAAAAAACTGAGATAAATAAAGGAGTGGCAAATCTATTGTGCTGTAAAGAGAAAAATTTGTTGAGACATACAATGGCTTTGAGAAAAGACTTCAACAGACGGGACTCGTCTGTTCTACTAGTGGATAAAACAAACTAAGGAAATCAATAACAGAAATTTAATTACCTTACTGCCAATAGCAATGATCAAATGTTTCGGAACCTTGTCAAAACATCTGTGACACTTTTCCATTGCTGCACTGATCTTTTTATGCTCTGAAAGGAAAGAAACACAGTCATGTCCAGTGGGTTAACTTTTTAGATTTAGAAAGAATTTTAAGGCACTCGCAACACAATGAGGTCATAATATAAGTTGCGACGGTAAGCGGTGTTACAAGAGTAACAAACACAAAAAAGGAGGAGGAGAGATCAGGACAATAGATGTCTCATAGGAAAAAAGGAGCAAATCACACCAGAGCACCCGCCAACCTGCCACAGTGGGTTCACAAAAAATATATCAAACACAAAGATGGTCTCTCAGTGTGAGAGAAAAGTGAAATGCACAACAAATAGACTAATAGAGCATGTTGTCACATAAATAAAAATCTACCAGGGCTTTATGTATATGTATGTGTGTGTGTGTGTGTGTGTGTGTGTGTGTGTGTGTGTGTGTGTGTAGGTGGGGGGTATCTTAACATGAATGGTGCTCGTTAGCACTTCATTTTCACTGAAAACATAGGTCCCTACAATTTATTTATACCAGAGATACCAACCACAGAAAACTGAAATGAGTACTGGAAAATATGAAAATGTGTATTTTCAGGGGGAAATGTGTATTCCCCACGACCGACCGACCAACTAGTAAAATGTTCAGGGTGTCCAGCAATATTTCCTGATAAAAAATTTACCAGCTCATCAGCTTGCAAAGAATGAAGGGTCCCGATTCAGCACATTGCCTGCACCAACATGCGCTTTGCAGAGAGCTCTATCAAAATTCTGAAATTTGCTTCCAAGTTTTTGTCCTCTGTTGTTGCCTTCCCCCCCCCCCCCCCCCCCCGAGTGTATTTAAAAAAAACAAAAACAATAATCCCCTCCCCTATTCCGTAGTCCTATACTTCGCTCGCAACGCAGTTACTCCCACTAAAGACGGTCTTTGCTCATACGATGCCGCATTTATTTATGATGCGAATGCGCGCAGGTTCAGTGACCGGTCACGATGGCGAGCCAGACAATCTAAAAATCGGACAACGCTTGTATTTTCTTTTCTTTCTTTCCCACACATGACAGCACAGAGACGAGTCCGAGTGTTGATTAAATTTTATCGTATCGGCGACACAGCGTTTACACTGCACAACCCGTATGTCACAAATGTTGCGTTATCAGACTACCACTGGCAAACTTCTCGGTGGTAACGAAAGCGAAAGTAGATCTTGATTTTCCCAATCGAGCATCGGTGTCACATACACTTCCGCCTGCCGCCATGGCCGCCTGTTCGTGTGAAACGTACTCTCGGAAGGGGAAAGGGTGAACGAATATAATATCACAATCGTGACCGGCAAAAATGAAGTTTCTGACCTTATCGGACTTGGTTTTCAAATATTCCAGTTCCACGATACTGATACTATTTTGGCAAAAGATGGGACTTGAGATAATTAGGTTTACTCGCCCAAGCTGAATGTCGTATTGTACGCATTCCATTCCAGGATGCGTATTTTTTCATGAAAAGTCGTATTCGCGTATTTTCTGCAAAAAATCGTACTAAAATACGTAAAATCGTACTGGTTGGCATCTCTGTTATACCCATCTTTTGCGTGGATCATATGATTAATATACAGGCTATATACAACTCTAAAGCGCTGTGCTTCTCTAAACATTGCTAAAAAATAGCCACTGATATTTCAGCCCAATCTAAAATATCAGAATTTATCTACCAGCAAATGGAACTAAAACATTGAAAAGGGAAAATATTTTCCTGAAAAAAAAGGTATATCCATTTCAACATCACTTACGAAAATAAACAAAATAAAATCTGGAATAAGCATATTTATGTAAAAGTACCAGTATATTTTATGTGTGAAGAATGGAATATTTACTGACCATATATGGCGGCTGATCTGTCTTTGTTGAATATGTTGTCCTCATTCTGTTTCCGGGCTGCCTTATCCACAAACATATCATCCACATCCAGGTCCCTGTCAGTGGACTAAGGAGTGGGAGCGAGACAGAACCAGAGAGGAAATTTGAGGATAACATTTGTAATGGGAAATAACAGACCAAAAAAAAAAACGTCTTTGTATGTGTTATGTCCCTTTACTAAGCAAGTTGGAGAGAGAGAGAGAGAGAGAGAGAGAGAGAGAGAGAGAGAGAGAGAGAGAGAGAGAGAGAGAGAGAGAGAGAGACAGGGAGAAGAGGGGGGAGAGAAAGGTGGGGGGAGGGAGGAGGACACACTTCCCCATTTATGTATCTATTACAAAAGACAATCACATCAAAAAGTTAGTTCTGACCAGCTAAAAAAATAGTCTTTGCACACATTGGCTAAAATCAACCAACAAATCATACAAAAACAAGGGACAATGATAAACGGAGCAGAGATATGAATGCTTGTTCGTGATAAATATCAGCAATCTAAAGCGCTCAAAGCTTATATTTATATTAGGCAGAGTGATATATAAGTACAATCTATTAATATTATTACTATTATTACAGCAGATCCCGCTACTACCTTAAGAATGATCAGAAAAAGAGCAGTGACTTACCCTTCCAGCCAAACGGGCAAACATGGCATTCTGATCTTCTGCTGTGCCAGTTTTTTCTTGTTCAACCTTGGAGGGGAAAAAAGGAATATTTCTGAAACTGAAATATGGATTACCTTTTGGGGAGTTAAATATTTTTTCTTTTTTTAGAGCCAATATTTTGTGTGACCAGAAATTATCTTTCTTTTTACCTGAGAATAAACTGTTTTCTTACCTGCTCAGAAAAGCTATCCATTTGAACATAACTAACAGACTAAAAATGACTGATAAAATAGAAGACAGAGATAAACATAATTGTGTAAGAGTGTGAAAGTCACTTCATGGAAAGTCACTTTTTTGCCTTTCGAGCCATGTAGCTGATAATAGCGAAGTGCGTCTTACGACTGATATTGAGCGGGGCAGACATATATGGTGAGTAGCAATTCCGTTCTACACACTTTTGAAATTTCCTTCACATGATTTATATTGACCGGCAGCGACACATATGGCATTGTGTTGTGACAAGAAGGAAAGGCATGTTTGATTTCTTAGCTTGCTCCTACACATACATTAGTTTTTGGGGATATACAAAACACAGTAGCCCTTTTCATATGGCTAACTAGATTTAATTAACCAGCAATAATTTAGTGTTTTCTTGTCTTCTCATTATTATTTGACTTTAAATCTGTACACCATCGTACATAAGAAGAATACATATGTGGAAAAGGAATCATGTCGATCTAAGAGCCATTTTCCTGCTTTTCTCAGACATGAAAACCAAGAGCACCAGCAGTGAATGCCACACGGGTCTTTACTGTATAATAAGGATATCCTTTCCATACTGCTTTTGTGCCACTTCAAATCCATTATTTATAGAGATGCCTTTAAGATTTATTTCGAAAAAAACCATCATTACATCAAAAAATGAATTTTAGCTTCCTATTGAAGATAACCTACAACAAATTAATTAATATAAAAGCCTGTAATTAAGAATAAAATGATTTTCTGTTTCAGAAATTTATGTTCACATCATTGCAAGTAAAGTAAGGAATATGAAAAAATTAATTTCTTGCATTTTGCAACAATGTCCAGATATCTTTTCATACAAGGCCAACAGCTATGACATATTTTTCATAACTGATGAGTAGCTGTAAGTGTAAGATTACTTTCACACAATAACATACAAAATAATGATAAGACTACTCTCACATCAGTTCAGACTTAAAGAAGAAAAATTCTTTCACACAGATAAATTGAGTGCAAGATCGCTTTGAAACTAAACTTCCTGCAAAAAGGACTACTTTCACTTTAGTCTAATGAGTGTAAAATCATTTTCATAGAAGACTTGTCACAGAAAAAAGTACCTTCAAACCAAAGGAAAAAAAGCCACTCCTTTTATCAAAATTTTAATTTCTAAAACCCCTGTGAAGTAGACAGTTGAACCAGCTCTACAACCACCAGTCTAAGACAACCATCTGTACAAACGACAACTTCCCATTTCCTCTCTTGCATTTGTTCTATATTGACAATGTCCAAGATGTCCATCCCTTTAAGACAACTTTTCTCCACAACAATAGATGGCCATCTTGAATCATTTTGACAGTACTTTGGTGGATAAAATAAGAAATAAACAACAACCATTAACTTTCTCACTACAAAAAAGTCAATATCAAATAAATACATACCAGAGTTTTGAGATCCAATCTGTCATCATTATCAAAATACTGAGTTCTTTCCCCTTTACTGTCATGAGTGGTAACCTGAAACGGCATTCAGACATGAAAAGAATAAGCACTGAAAACAACAAAAATAAATTTTGGTTAAAATCCCAGCAACATGTACATATGGTTACATGACATAGCTCTGTGAAACATGACCTTTGTGAGTCTCCAGAAAAGGCACAGGTTTCATGTCTTCACTGTCACAAATGTGTGTGTAAAGATGAGATTATTATTCCATACCACAATTCAAAAAAGAATTCTTTTTTTTAAATTACAACTTAACAAGGAAAAAATTACAGTTTTAATTCTAATCATCTTCATTCTTCATATGGTGGCACTTGACGTCACAAATGCAGCAGCCTGTTAAAGCTTCATCAATTTGCCATGCAGCTACTCTCAAAAGGGTACCGGCTCTGGCTAAGACTTGACTCACATTTTTCTTCCTTCCTTTTCTTCCTCCTCTGTCCCATCCATCTTTCGTTTCTCCAACCACAGGCCGAAGCATATCTCCCCTTCCTCTTCTGGATAGCACAACAACATTATCTTCTTCGTTATGATCCCTGTCACCCCCTCTGTCTCTGGGTTGGGACTGTTTGCGACAAGAAAAATCTGGAAGTGAGGACTCTCCCGATTTCGCAGCGTCTCTTGCTTCTCTGGCCGACTTCAGCTTGGCCTCTAGATCTGCTTTCATGTCCTGCACGAAGAGGATAAGTACACAGTCAAACCTGCTCTGTCTTATGGCCACCTGTCCCAATACAGTCACCTCTACTAAAAAAAAATCCACTTCTCCCTTTGCTCCTTTTCTGTATTATAGTCACATTGTCCACCACATCTTCCTATAGAAGACAACCACTTTTCTCCTCTACAATGGGTGCCAACTATGAAAAACTGGATGAAATTTTGAATAATTCAATTCATAAGCTCTTGTTACGGTTAGCTAACGAGACATTCATAAAAGCACAAGCACTACTTAACTCTTTTTAAGATAACACCTCAAAAGCGGAAGCCACAGTCTGCTGCAGATTTAGCTGCTGCAACTGTAATTGAGATAAATTACAACTGCAAACGCGTTATACCCCAATCCATACAATTGAGATTTTTTGGGAGGCAGGCCATTTCAGCCCTGTCTACCAGGGCCAACTTCGAAGAGAGCTACTGTCGTAGCAAAAACTCCACTTCTCAAGACTGAGCAAAGTTGGCACGACTATTTTTGCTGAACATATTATAACTTCTTCCACAGTGTGTCCATTGAAATTCTCTTAATCCCCCCTTTCAAAGAAATATGTATGTTTTTTAAATGTGGAATTCAAATTTTCTAAAAATGAACCTCTCAAAAACAAAGGAAATGATTTCTGATTTTAAAAGAGAAAAACCAACAATCCCACCACTTGTAATTGAACAAGAAACAATTGAAATGACAGATTCATTCAAATATCTTGGTCTTACAATCGACAACAAATTTACATGGCAAAATCAGGTAAACAATATTGTTAAAAAGGTAAATCAGAGGCATAAAAATAAACAAATTGATTAGAAAGGCATCGTGAATAATTGGTAAAGACCCGAGTAGCTTTGAATATCTACACATAACAAATGTTCTTTAAAAAGAGGCGGAAATAATGCTAAGTGACCATAGCCACCCACAGTCATCGGAATTTCAATTATCGACCCACAGTAAACGATACATTTCCAAAAAAACAAAAACAGACAGATACAGAAATTCATTCGTACCAACTGCAGTGAGGTTACTGAACACACAGTGCTACAAAAGAAACACAGAGAGAGATTGAGAGAGAGAGAGAGAGAAACAAAGAAAGAAAGAGAGAGAGAGAGCGAGAGAGAGATGGAGAATGTTTACGGAGCAGGTTGTAGAAAGCGAAACAAGTATTTATCAATGTCCTGTCTTGTAGTGCGTATGCGTGCATGCACCTAACCTTTATAAAACATCTACTGCCATTGTAAACGACTAGGACAAATTTCTCCCTGCGAGATTACTAAAGATTGCCATGGTCATTGTCATTGGCAGTGATAAAACTATATTGACCCAGGTACACAGTATTACAACTATTGTGCGGTCAAAAATTTGTGGTGCAACTTATCCTCAAATATCTCTTTCACGGGTGAATCACTGTCATCCATACTTTGCACGCCAGTTTGTATCAATTTGTCTTAATTTAATCATATTTTGCCATAAATATTGAGGCTAGATTCAAAAACTTTTCTTTAAAAATTTATATAAAATACTACAAATCTCCGTCATGCGGAAAATGGGAGTGTTCACAGCACTTCCCGCTTCTCACACACATTTTGCATACGCATATGATCTACGTCACATCTCAGCAATGACACTTTTTAGTGGCAAAACTTGCTGTAAGAAATTGATTTTATAGTGAACACAGTGTTTGCACTAAAGATTCTCAAAGCATGTGTTCAATAAGCATAATGTCGTAATTAGAAAAAAACGATGGTCTTGCTTTTAAAAGCGACATTGCCCCAGTTTAAACTTTTTAAAATCTGTAGAAACCATCGACTGAGATTTTTTATTAGTATTTATCAATATTACAGAAATTTCTAGAATACCGCGTACAGGGGTTTTGAAAAAAATATTCAACTGTTCAGAAAAATTGATATAAGTCATTGTGCAAAAGTTGGAGAATCTATGTTTGATAGTTAAGGAGATATTTTTTTATTTATTTTTTTTTATAGTCGAGGGTTTTACGGCGATCGCAACTGCATAAGGTCATATGAGCGCCAAGGGGGGGATGTCAACAGAGAAGTCTTTACAGGGAATCAGACTTAAACTGCTCACCTCTCTAGCTTCAACAGCACAAGGGCTGCTTCAACTATCAAGGCACCCCAAAATAGCAGGTCACAAGGGAGTGATAAACTTACAAAAGAAGTAGAGGAAATGACAATAGTAAGGATCAGGAAAGAAAAAGCAGCAGTTCCCTGTTCTGTTGTAGATCAGGCACAGTTATGTGCGTGACATGAATCAGCCCATTTACAATTCTACAATGCTTGAACGAGATATGTCCCCCCTTTGGGAATGGCCTAAAGACACTTCAGTCAGTGGCACTGCCCCGGGGGGTAAAGGAGATATTTGATAATAAGTTGTAAAAAAATTTTTGACCGCACTATAAGCAACACCCGAAACAAAAGATATAGGACACTGTACAAAAAAAACCCCACAAAAAACAAAATAAAAGAACAGCTGTGACATGAAACAACAGCTAGTACTCTTAACACTTACCAAAAAAAAAATATAATTTTTTTAAAGTATCAAAACTGTTGATCAGAGACAATGGAAAGACATACCTGTACATTGGTTGGCCTTTGAGTGTATTCAAAGTTTCTAGTACTCCATCTCAAGAATGAATAATGGAAAGAAAGTAGAGGCCAATTTTAAAACAGAGTCATATGGAAAGTCAGAAACAAAAATCTTACATCATCACCCATAATTTCAGCTCGCAAAATCTTGGCTGCTAAATCGTTGAGCTCTTCTTCGGTCATTATTTTCGGAGGAGGTTGAGAGGTCTCAGCTTTTGGCACCTCTTCGTCAGACTCACTGCTCTCACTGCTTGAGTCACTGCTGCCTTCTGAAGTGAAAATGTTCAATAATTCTTAAAAATCTGTTACTATATCCTGTTTCACACCTGAGTCAAGACAGGCAGTGGTTGGGTGGGGGGAGGGAGACTACTGATAGGTACTAGGTACAGCCTCTATCTGGTCTTTCCTGTCTGTTTGTCTTGCTTTTTCCCTGCACTAAATGGCCACTGTGTTAATGTGCTTTTTGTTTATTCAAACCTGTTGTAAGTATGGGCACTGACTCTCAATACTGGAATGCATACCTTTTTGCGATTAGCATTTTTGTTTTAGTATGAGTAAAGAGAAGCACACCAACACAATTATGCTGATTCGGTGTATAGGACCTCTCAGTGGCACCCTCCATCCATCCCTTTCTTCGCGATTAGAAAGTACAAAAAAATATGGTGCTCTGTTCCACTGTTTCAAATTTCAACTAGAAATATCTGTGACTACTGTTTCAGTACACACAAATTGGGTTTTATTTTTCTTAATTGGTAACCTTATCAATCAACGGGGTTACAAGCCCCACAACCAAATAAATCACCTTTAAATCAATAAAAATTGTATTTATCAAAAAACACATCTCCTATCCTGTATTTTCACTTGATATTAGATGACATATACAAATTTTCATAAGAGCAATTTCAGTACTCTTTCTCGATTACTGAATTTGAATTAAAATAACTGAAAAAAAGTTCCGTTATACAGCATCCACAAAGTGGCTTTTGAGTATGAATAAAGAGAAGCACATAGGCACAATAATAATGGTAATTTGGTGAACATTTTTGTTCTCTTTTAACAAAGAAGAGGAAGTGAAATGTCTTTATTTGAATGACTACGGGCAGAACACGCATGCACAAAAAGCAAAAAGAACTGTATAGACTTCAAGCAATAGGCTTCATCTATGGCAAACACATCGATCAACCACACTATTCCAAAACACAAAGCTCATCCAGAGAAAGGATGTTGAAAATAACAACTAATAATAATAACAACAATAATAACAATGATAATGATAATAATAATAATAATAATAATAATAACAATAATAACAATGATAATAATAATAATAATAATAATAATAATAATAATAATAATAATAATAACTGCATTTATATAGCACATGTCCATGCTCTACACCATGTTCTATGAGCTTTCTAACTATCATTACCCTAGCAGATCCTAGAACACTCAGAAACATTCTTGGCTTCCCTGAAGCATACACACAGGCAGCCAATTAAATGTTCAAACACTAACAAACTAACAAGATCTTTCGGTGTCTGCAAGCTTTTTAAGCCTCTTTTAACCCTCATCCTGCGGGAGCCGGGTTTATGTAGCCCGATAAGCCTATTTCGGCACCTCGCCTACGTTCTGGTCCCGAATCAGTGTAGCTCCTGGCTCATTCGGGTCCCGAGTTGGATCCCCATTCACGCAGGTCAAGTGTGTGTGCGTCAGTCTGCTTGAGTTTGTGTGCGTTTGTGGCCTTCTTCTATAACCGCCTGCATTTGTTCGTAATTGAGGCATACGTTTCATTCAAAATATGCCAAGTTGGTAGCTCTAGATGTTCGTCAATGAAATTATAGAAGAAATTGACCCACTTAGACATGAGGAGCTCGAAAGGATAGTCAGGAAACAAGACTTCCATTTTTCTATACAAAATATTTCAAATGAGCTTGATTTTGTATGAAATGATACTACCTGATAAAAAATAAGCTTGTTTGATATTTTTGAATACCATTGTGTAGGTACAAAGAACAATTTGAGTGTAAAACATTCGGAAATTGACCTAAATTATCCCCTTATGAACCTCAGGTCATTCATAACAACAAGAGCGTCCAGAAAGGTTATTCGAATGAGCGTAACTACTCGTAATGTCTTATCAGCTTGTGAGAGGGGGTTATTCATGTGTTTGTAACACTTTATAAATAGAAAGCTATGAAGGATAGAACGTTATTTTCATCATCGGTTAACACACTACCGCGGTATTCATGGCGAAAACACACGTTTCCCGGCGCGCGCGCTGTACACCAACAGTACACACTGAGTGACCCCGGCGGCCTGCCCGGCACATCTGACGTAATCGGTTGCTGATAAGATACGCATCTAGGCACAGACGCAGGATAAGAGTTAAGATTAAGAAATTTAGATGAGCAAAAACGTTTCCCGAGATATGTAAGTATAAAACATGATCCACAGCAACAATATATTGTGAAGCAGGACAAATTGAATGAGGAAGTAATAAAAGTCAGAAAAAAAAATACACAAACTCACCAGAATGTTTTCTTTTTTTCTCACTTTTTCCTCTTTTCTCAGAGTTCTCAAGACCCTCTTTGTCTTCTTTCGACTTTGAGGAGACATCAGGAGACGGCTGTTTCTTTTTCCATCGAGAAACTACTTGCGACTCTCTAGATCTTGGTCTGTCTCTGTCTCTGTCATATGATCTTGAAAACTCAGCATCACCAGGCCTCATGAAACCCCGAGGTCTGCCTTCCTTACTATTTGAATCTTTTCTGTACTTCGAGGTCCTTTCTTCAGAACTTTCTTCATCAGAACCTAACGGCCTCTGAAAAGTTTTCCTGTTACTTCTTTCCTCATACTGATCTTCCCTCCTTGCACTTCTGTTTTTTCTCTCTGCTCTAGAACTTTCCTCATCTGAATCGGACGGTTTCTGGAAAGTTCTTCTGTTACTTTTTTCATCATACCGGTCTTCCCTTCTCATACCTCTATCCTTTCTGTCTCCCCTATCACGACTTTCCTCTCTGGAATCTTCATTATCATCTGAACCCGAAGGCCTCTGAAAACTTCTTTTATAACTCATGTCCTCATTTCGGTCTCTTCTACCCATACTTGTATCTCTTCTGTCCATTCTATCACCACTTATCTCCCTAGACCTCCCTCTGCCCCCTCTTCTATCACTCTCCTCTGGACTCCTACTGCGTCTTCGACTCCTGTCCCTGTCGTTGACTGACCTCCTCCAAGCATCAGTGCCTTGATGAAATCTCTGTCCTCCACCTGTCCTCTGCTTTTGCTCTGCCTCTTGTAGCATGTTCTCAAGTTTCCTCAGAGACTGCAAATCAACACAAGAGGTAAAAAAGTCACCACAATTACACAGCAAACTCAAGTGGGAAGTGGAAATATACACAATGAACAAGTCACACTTCTTTCAAATTCCTTCATTTTTTTCTATCTACACAACAAACTCGGCTACATGCTGAAAGACCAAATCAACAAGTCACATATGTTAGAAACCCCTTCATAATTTCTGTCTACTCTTGCTTTTCCCAAGCACCATGATACCATCTATGATCTTCTACATAACTAAAACAAAGATACAGCAAATACACCATAAATATCTGTTAACTCAACGATACAGCACATTTGTCATGAGTCCACTTCTTCACTAATTAGCTTTTGTTTGCTGAACACAGCATAAACCCAGCAAGCAGCCAGCCCCAAAGCTGACATTCTGTATCCAAGAAAAGCATCACCAAGAATAAATAAAACTTTTATATGAAACCACATCTTTATGAAAAAAATTGGACTTTCAGAGCATAAAAAAATGCCAGATGCCAAGACATCAAGTTAGCGACTACAAACTGTATGACTTTGAAAAGCAGACAGATGTAATGTTCGTAAAATATGACATTAACCAAAAGACATGTTTTTAGAAAACAAAATAAAATAAACAGCATTACTGTACAACAGTACAGGATACAAACTAAACATTATATCCATAAAACAAAAAATACATTGAAAAATCTTCATGACAGCAGATTTCGGGAACTACAAATTTTTAAAACATGGCAATCCAAATATTTCTTACTACCTTGAAACAGCAACTCAAATTCTGATAAAGAAATCAAACATACACCGTATCTTTCAGCAACTACTTCCTCAAGGCTTCTTCCCTCATCCTCTGCCTGCTGTTTGAAGCGTTTGTAAGCAGTGCGTAACCATGACAACCCTCCATCACCAGCCACAGACCCTTGTGAAACGACAGCAGTGGAGCTTTTCGAGGGAGCCTCCTCTGGCAATCCAGTGCCACCATTTTTCCAGTACGGGTTCAACTCCCTTGTATGTTGACCAGGCTGTTGAGAGGAGGGAAGAGGAAACATTTAAAATTGTTTATATACTCTTACTGTGAGTTCAATACAAGTCACAAATACAGTTGAACCTGCTCTAACAACCACCTGTCCAAGACAATCGCCTGTACAGATAACCACTTCCCACTTGTGATTTTTCTGTATTATAAAGACAATCAAAAACGCCCACCTATCTAAGACAATCACTTTACCCCTGACAATGGGTGAGCGTCTAAGAAAGTTACTACTGTAGATCATTTTAGTGGCTAAACTCTCACTTTAGTGCTTTGAGTAAAGGAGAAGGAAAGAAATAAGGCACAGACAATGCACTACCATAAGTATCTCGCATATACATCAGAGCAAAAGATGTCAGAAGTGTAATGGTATCAGTAAAGGGGTGGCACCTCCTGTTCACTTGCAGTAAGCAGGGAACATTTAATTTACTAGCATACTCTAAGAGTGAACAGGGTTTTTAGACAGGACACTTGATCAAATCTGCAGGAAGGTTGACTGCAGTGAAAACATGTAAAAGATAAACCTTGAAGATGAGAATTCACAGATCAAGCTGGTTCACCAGATGCCCTAACTCATATCATATAAACAGTGATCTCATTCTAAGAACTCCCCACATAAGAACCCCACATCAATGTAAGAGCCCATTTTCCCCATGAAGCAGAGTATTTCATTTTTGACTTACAATGCCTAAAAAAACATTCTAAAAATAGAAATCTGTTTAACCCTTTCCAGACATATCGTCAATATATCGGCAAGAGCCTGCACCCCTTGCGGTCATACCGCTGATATATCGGTTATGATGGGTACCTCAGTTTTGTTTCATTAAAACGTGATCTGTCGTTTATAAGAACTTATTATTGCTACTAGAAAACTTGGAGAGGATTTAGGAAATAAAGGCAACCAGTCACTTTGACCATGTAAGAAGGAGGAATGATTGGACCAATTAAAAATCACTTTCCTATTGACTTGCTTTGTATAAGAGTGCATGTTGTGTGTTTATTTTTTGTCGTTTATTAGTCCAAATCAACCCATCTCCCCATACCCCAACCCCTTTTTCCAGCTGTTTCCTTTTTTTCATTAAAATAACTCCCACTTTATCAGTTACAACTCTGCATCATTTCTACTGGATGTATCTATTGATGAGTCAAGTTAGTTGCTAGTGATACATAAAACCCTGCACACTTGTCATAATCTTTACTCAATATCTGACAGAGCTATGGATATTCTAGCTTGGAACTATAGGAAGCAGAGAAAAATAAACTCAAAGGAAGGTATTCTTTACAGTCCACTGCAGTCATTACTTATTCCAAGTCTGATACCATGTGATTCCTTTTCAAAAACAAAATAAATCCTTATTTTAAATATCATTGTTAAATTTACAAACACGATGAAAAAGTAAGTTTACACATAAATTGTCTTTCCAAATGGGGAAAAAGGCAAAACTACAAAAAGAGAAGATGACATGACAAAGACACACTCCAGCAATATGACAATTGTTCTGGGCAATTATCCTGATTCTCTACACTGAATAGACGGGCACAACTCACTTGAAACATTTTCTCACTTTCTTCCCTGGCAGCTTTTTTCTCCTTTTCCATTGCTTCTCGAATTTCCTTCCTGGAAGTCAGGGGCATGAAATCCAGTGGTGCTTCCATCCAGCTTTCCCTCTGTAAAAATATTGATATTGAGAGTGGACACTTTATAAGGTGCCTCTCCCTCCCTCTCGATTTTTCCCGCTTATCTCCAGGCAAATAGACAAGTGCCTAATACACTTATTTTTTCCCCCAATATTAGTCACAAACTATTACATAAACCCATGCAAGAATTTCACATGTTGCAAACTGTAAACCTGTGAACTATTCCAAGACTAAAAATAGTTTTCCTTTAAATCCTCCCACAAAAATCTGAGCTTGGGGGAAAAATTTGGGAGTCTCAAGAACCTCAGTGGATTGAGATTACCTAATGAGCCAAACTTAGCACATACAGGAACATAAACTCAACTAAAATTGCATCTTTTTACATCATTTACATTTGCGATAAATCGCTTTGGATTAACACAAACAGAATTCAAGAAAAGAATCAGATTTTAGGCAAATTCGCAAACCTGATCAGAGTTCTTTGACATGCAAAATAAATCAGAGCGCTCAGAAAAATAAAGACGAGATATTTTCTTTGTTCTTTTTTTTAAAAAAGGCTTTCACTTTTACCTGTAGTTGTGGACCTTTGATCGCCATCTCCTCTGTGTCTTTTTTTTCACTGGAAGTCTTTGCTTCAACCCAATCATCCTGGTTTATAATGATTGAAAAGAACAAAATGATCAAAGGCTGAAAGCAAGAAATAATTAACTCCACTGTCGACATTGAATCCTCTCTGAATCTTTCACTTCAGAAGTAAACTATTGAAGAAACATGTTAACTGTTAATACTTCAATATTTCTTTCTTCTTTTAGTCAGTTTCTTTTGACAGAGTCATCCCAAAGCGATACGTTCAACGTTTTAAGAGGCATAACCTATAAAAACAACTTTTCTTTGTTCTGTCCTGCACTATACATGTACAGATTCTTTCAAAGTATCAATAGGTGTGAGACAGGAAAAGAAACAGGTAAACCTTACTATCTGACCGACAAGGAGATTCACAACTGGTACACATATATGAGCTTTTGCCAACAATAGGTGGGTACCTAAAATGTAACACAGAGGGTTGATGATAAAGTTTTTGATATTTCATTTTTACTTGAATTGTTCTATTCATGTATATCTCCTCCTACAAAAACATGTATTCACAGACCTACAGACGGCATGCTAAGCTGTGAAACGGGCGTTACATATCATCAAGTCAAATTCTTTCAGACACAACTATGATGACACACTTTTTAACAATTTGAACATACAAAATTATTTTAAGTTTTCTTATTGCTGTAATCATCAAACATAAGCATGAACAGCATATAAAATCACAGAAAAAATAAATTCTGAATGTCTTTCTGCTCGCATTTATGTCATCATAGTTGTGTCCGAAAGAAATGAAAAACTTTCCATTTTCATATCTTAAATCATTTTTTGACAATTTTGGCAAACAAAGATTCAGAGATTCAGTCTGACTCATAAAGCATGCTAATGGTGAAAAAATGCCACTGAATTCACATTTTACTGTGACTCTATGCAAAATACCAAATATCTTTCGAACACAACCATGATGACACATAATGGATAAAAGTTTGTCATCATTTTGGAACATATCATCAATATACATCAAATTTTCCCCTCTTGTTGACATCTAGCCAAGCATGTGGGGTCACATCTAGACCTACTACTACTTGACCATTGGAATGCAGTGCGATGTTAATCATTGCTTGGTTTAAGGAGGTTCGCGGGTCGGGTCTAGGGCCTCGGGGACTGATTTTCACTCAGTCAGAGAACTTTTTACTTTTGGTATTTTCCGATCCCTCATTCAGTCTAGATTTTATTGACACTAGTCGCTGAGTGATTAACATTACTGGGTTCTACGTTGCGTACTAACATTGTCGATGTTTGACGTTGTTTTTCTCAAAACACATTTTGTCACCACTTTTTGCTTGCAAGTGCCGGGAATTTTTTCTCCACCATTTTTTTACTTTCCAACACAGAGAAAATTTTAAGGTTGTTTTTTTTCATGCCCCAAATTTTTTTTTAAAGAGCAAATTCAATATCCCCAACTCTGAGAAAACTTTTTAAGTATAGTATCAAAAATCAAAATTGTCAGCTGTAAGCACCTATTTATTTGTGACATCTTGGAGGTTACAAACTTTTTAAAAGTTAAAAACTGTAAAAAGTGGAGAAAAAAATTGTCTATCCATTTTTCAAGATGGCTGTTGTTTCCATAGCAATGGCTTACGTAATCGAGTGTATCAACAGTGGAACATGAATCTTATGTCTCATACTTACTGCTTGTGACAAAAGTTGTTTCAGTTTGTCTTTAGTTAAAAATGTTGTCCTGTAAGTATCGAGCCCCCTTTAATTTAATTAAGTGGGGTGGAATCATTTTTCGGACATAACAGCTTTTTCCTAACATAACATGTTAAGATTTGATGACGACATAAGAAAACTTAAATGAATTCGCCTCATCCTTCGTTATTCTTCTCGCCATCTTGCATCACACAAAATACTCTTTGAATGGAACCACAGGAACAATGTACATTCCTCCACCCCTATTATTTCTTGTTTTCTGATAGGTTCTTTCCAACATAATAAATGATGACAGAGCACGAGGCATCGTGGGATTTCCCTTTACTGCAAAATTACGCATGGTCACAGCCTCGGAATCAGTCAGGGCAGAGAGTAAACATTTAACGATATTGTGTTCATTCCAGGGCCCCAAAATGTCCGATAGAAACGAAGACACAGGGAATCGAGGTTGCCTTGCAAAATACTACACGAGTAATGCTCGAAAATGAAAATCTAAGAGGTTTACAAAAAAAAAAACAGCTACAGATATCATTATTCCTGATATAGTGCCACAAATAATGTAGTTATAGTAGTAAAAGTGTACAAGGATGAGTTTCTCAGCAATTATTTCATTGCTGAACTTGACAACAGAAAAAGTACGAACTCGACGAGTCACGTTTTGCATTCTAAAAGTACATCGATTTAAAACCTAAAATTATTTGTAAGATTTCTTCTGATGGCCCGACTGCTATTTTGTTGCTCCCATAGCTGAAACATCATATTAAGCACAACAAATTTTACTGGAATAAGAAAGGATTTTGTAAAGTATATGAAGAAACCCTCACCTATTGGCAAAGGCTCATATACATTCAACAGAACGTACATGCCAGAACAGAAGTGGAAGGTCCTTATTTGTTTGTAATGCCTTTAAGACAGATAGTTTGAGCAGCACGTCCAACATTGACCTTTCGGTACATCAGGGTGAACATAAACATAAAACAAGAATGTAAAAATACAAGAAAATAAAACTTACCCCTTCGTCCTCAGTTGAGCTGCTGCTACTGCTGCTGCTCCTTTTCTTCTTCTTCTTTTTTTTCTTCTTTTTCTCCTTCTTGTGCTTTTTTTTACTGCGCTTCTCTATATCCTAATAAAAGGAATATACATAGTAAAAACCTCTGACAACATGACTTATTCATCTAGAATTTCAATCGTAAGTTACAAGTACTGCATGAGAGCCCAAATCAAAAATCTTTCTGAGCCCATTTTGAAAAAAATGTAATTGTGTTAAAATTTTCTCTTATTACTTCACAAAACTGCATTAAGAGCAACTTCACCTAAAAGATGAACTTTGATGGTTTACAAGAAGGCAGTTCCATTTTTGGGTGGTAATCTTCTGCCACAAAAACAATCTATAACTACAGCAGTTATGTACAACTATAATAAAGTTTACTGCCTTGTACAGAAACACAATTGTCACTATGATGTTCGAAAATAAAATATTAAACCTCAACAGTAAAAGTCTTGATAGCTTATCTACTTGCTTTTAACAATGGATTACCCATTTGTACTTCTCAAATGTTTTGAAGTCTTCATTGACTAGGACAATATTTTTTGGTATTTCTTTTTCATTGGAAAAGAAAACATACACATAAAAAGATAACCAACAGCAAAAACGTTATGATTGCATACTTGTTATTCTATAAATATTGATATCTGTACTCAACAATCTTAACGAGTGTGCATGCTTACTGAGCCTTTTTAAAAAAGACAAATTACTGACCTTCTCTTCTTTTGCAATCCTTTGAGAGACAGAATCAAGCATCCATGTTCCTTCTCCCAACTTGCGAGCCTTCTCATTCTTTGCCTCTTCTCTGTCATGTTTTCTCTTTGCCTGAGTGAAAGATGGAGAACATTTTTTTAACATATCTCAGAGTTCATTTTCCCAACTTGATAGTCAGAAGTTTACTGAAGAGTCAATAAGAAGAAAGATGAGTATCGGGTGAACAGGTTGCAAATAACTTTTCAACTTCAGGATGTATCACAGTATTATGGAAAAGGAACAAGTTCTGGTTGTCAAAATCAAAATGTTGGTAGAAAATGATTCCCAATACCATAACAAAACATTAGCAGGGAGTCAAGGATAGGAAATTATAATCTATTTGAGCAGATTAGCAGCAAGCACTAGCTCGCAGAGTTGTATGTAGAAGAAAGAAAATCACTGCTCGGCTGCTGAAAAGGTGCTGCATACCATGTGTTGTGTACTCATACCTCTGGTGGGTGGGGTGGGGTGGGGGGGCGGGGGTAAGTTGAGCCCCCCCCCCCCCCTCCTCCAGATTTTTAAAAAAAACTCATGGGGCATTCAATTCTCCCCAGACGACTTGTGAGAGCAGAATGATAAATATAAGATTGATAGTCGAATCAGAATCATACCAAATTTTCCAAATCTCAATAAAACTTCCAGAAATGGAAATATATATATATATCTTCTACAATCAAGCCTATTACTATTAGATTATTCTATATGAGGCTGACGGCTGAGGATAAACCATTTAAATGAAAGCAACTCCCAAGTGCAGTGCCTCAGCCTTATCAGTCCATTATAATTATGCCATGAATCTGCTCACAGATGACATAGTAGACTAACTTGAAGGTCTAAGATTGGAATTATTTATATTAGATATCAAGTTCTAGTTTTAGGAAGGGATGGGCAGGTACCGGTATCCAGTACCTGAACTCCCCGCTCTACCAAAGGAGGTGTCAGTGCCGGCACCAGGTCTCTAGTGCCGGCTCTGGGAAAGAGCCGACACCAACGGTTAAACCGGCTCTGGGAAAGAGCCGACACCAACGGTTATACCGGCTCTGGGAAAGAGCTGACACCAAAGGTTATACCGGCTCTGGGAAAGAGCCGACACCAACGGTTATACCGGCTCTGGGAAGGAGCCGACACCAACGTTTATACTGGTTCTGGGAAGGAGCCGACACCACAGTTTTTTTTTTTACTACGGGAAGTGTGCAGTGTGTAGGCCTACGTCTAGCAGCTGTGACGCCAGATGCACAACGCAGCGGGTGACCTTGATACAGGACTTCAGATTCAAAATTGACAATCAAAAATGAAGTTTGCTTAAATTTAAATATGGTATCAAATCAGGTTCAACGCAAGCCACTTTGCTTATTTTGATACGCTTATTCTGAAAATGAATTCAATTTTTAGCGGCGATAATTATTTTAAAAGTTCTGCATGCAAAGTTTCCTGCGCGGCGGCAAACTTCAAAAGTATTTTGCGTCACAGATCGCCTCTCCAATTCTGACTGGTGTGTCTGTGTCGTGTGTGTGGGGGAGGGGGGGGAGGATGCAGGCGGCGCTGATCGTGGCATCTGTGACGTCACATACTGGTGTCACTCCCAGTACAGGTACCGGTACTGGCCGTTCTCGGCACCGACACTGGATTTCTTCGGTACCGCCCAGCACTAGTTTTAGGGCTCCTACTTTTAGATGTCTAGTAGATCTTCTCGCATATTAAATCTATCCGGAGACGTCTCCAATAGAGATGGAAGACCAATCAAAATGCTTTGTTGTGCCTTTAGACCTGGTAAAAAAAATCAGCGCTTTTTCGGTACTTCCCACCCTGCAATTGTTATTCGCGAGTTTTAGCCCCAAGAGTTGGGGGGTTTCAGGCCACCTGATAAAAATAAGGTGCGGGTTTTCAGGGGGGCATGCCCCCCTGAATTTTACCATAATTTGATATTTTGCAGTTGTTAGGTTTGATATCTTAGCTCGCCGCGCATCAAATGTATTATGTATAGATCTCGATGTAGATCTATGCTCAAACAAGGGGGGTGGGAACTACCGAATAAGCACCAAAAAATCTGGGGGGTTACAGGGGGGGCATGCCCCCGTTTTAACTCATTCGCTACGTATTATTTTTGGCTTGTGGACGAATTTTTTTCAGGAGGGCGAAATGAGATGATGACTAGTGCGCAGTTCACAGGTCTTGGGGGCCATAAATTCAAATAAATATCAACATATTATATACCAACATTTTCAGTATGGTTTGTAGAATATATGTGTATTGTTTATTTGAGTATTTTTCAACTTTAGTTCCTGTAAGAGGCGATTATGCAACACAATTGTGATTGGCTGCAGATAAAATTTGAAAACAAAAAATGTATAATCTCAGATGAAACTCAAAAAATATGTTTGCACCTAGTCAAATTATACATCAAAATAACCATAACTGTATATAGAACAGGAAAATATTGAATAATGTGCAGTTATTTACATACATTCCATAATATTTGTACATTTGGATCACAACCTCCGATATTGAAAAAAAAAAAAAAATTTAATAATTTTGAAAAAAAGGATCCCAAACAGAAAAAAAACACTCGTATCTTATATGGAATTATTCAGAAGAATTGCATTTGGAATAAACCTCTATACATGTCTTGGGAGGTACTTTTTGAGTAAATTCACCAAAAAGTAGTGATTTTGGGGAGAAAAAAATATATTTTGACTATTTAGATCTAGGCCTAGATCTAGCACTCAAAAATATTGATTTCTCAATAGTGCACTGGCAATTTGAGTCCAGTAGTATAATATTATAAAGAAGAGTCCTACACTTCTTTAGTGAGCAAAATAATGATACATTTTGTTGTGCAAAAGTACTAAGACTGATGTCTGGGCTATAATTTGGGCTTCGCGATAAAACAATGTCGCATTATAAACTTCGAAATCGTGTTTCAAAACTGAATCAAAACTTCCGATTTTCGGTGGAAACGCTTGACCCGGAAGTCAACTTTATATTGACCTTTATTTTAACATGGATATATGGATTGGAATAGAAACCAAGCTAAAATTGAACGTCGGTTCTCGAGCCGCCGTGGGCGGCTTAGCGTACTGATGGCACTTTAGCCGCGCCGCCCCCCCACGGCTCGGGGTAGCGAATGAGTTAACCTATAATTTGATATTTTGCAGTTAAGTTTGAAATTTTCTTGAAAATAATTGATTTATTAGAAACAGTTTAAGTGACTAGATCTAGATCTAAATCTAAATCTAAACCTCTAGATTCTATACTATAGATCTAGAATCTAGATAAATGTAAGTGTGATCTGCAGCAAATAATACGCAGTTTGACCCCCCAAAATAGTACATCTGCGTGCGGACGTGCGTCTCCAAATAGTTCCTGGGTGCTCGCCGGAGACGTCTCCGAATATCTTCTGCCTATCTTCTAGAGTAGAGTCGAGAGAGAGAGAGAGAGAGAGAGAGAGTGGCGGAAGGGGGGCGGGGGGTAAATCTAAGACTAAGACTTCAAGATTCAGTTTCAGAGTTGGTGAGAGGAGAGTCGAACCTGCTCTAGAATAAGTTGCCTTGCTTTCCTGTTTTCTTCCTTCTTTTCGTCAATTGACGACTGAGACTGGAAGTTGTTATACTTTGAAGACATCCTTTATAATAACGTATTTTGTTTCAACGTAATTCTGTAGTGTCTCGTATTTAAACTTCGAAAAACGTTAGCCTGATGTATGGTGATGTTTCGGAAGCAGAGGTCCAGCACGCATGTAAACAAAGCAAGGGAGGTAAGGTAATCTTGTTATGAGGTGCCGGGTGAGCAAACACTCGAATATGTATTCGAACAATTGAGGTTTTACGTCTACTGACTCAGGTAAATATGCGGAAGATAATGGAAATAGAAGTGTTATAGCGTTGTGCACATCAAGCAGATCTAAGAAATTAAAAGTGACTCAAGTGTCATCTTAAAACACTTTAATATTGCTTCTACTCATGGTGCACGAAGTTTGAATAATTTCAAAATGCTCGAACTTTATTCGAGTTGTTGATATTTCGTTGTTATCGTTTCCTCAGCAATTCGCGTTTTATAATAAAATCATAAATATTTTTCACTCGTTTTGATTTCAATTGTGATTGACTCTCCAATGCCCAAATAAGGGGATGAAAACAAATACTAAACGTATTTTAAAACGAGCATAGTTTTCAAAAGCATACTTTGATTATTGAAGCAATCAAACAGCCGTGAGAGTATCTAAACATACCAATGTTTTGTTTTGTTTTTCAGCTGGGTGGCTTAACTAGACATTATTTTACAAAGGATTCAATCTAACTCGGCTTTCATAGTACGTTTGCAAAAGGGAAAAGGTAGACGCTTGAATGTATAGGTATAGTGAATATCACATTCCTGAAGGTCACCATCAACACGAGCAGACAGCAAAGGACTATAAAGCTCCCCTATGCAAGTCTATATCGTGGAACTGTAGGAGACAGGAGAGTGATAGGTTCATGAATATACAATGAGAAATACATGTACTAAAACGTGCCAAAAGACGAACTTGTGGAGACTTTTGCATGCAATGGTGTAAGGAGGATAAGATAATATAGCATGAAAGAGGAGTCTGAAAGCAGCCGTGAGTACAAAAAGGTTGGCAATTTGAGGTAAAGTCGAAAAGATCTAGGGTTTAATTATTACACACGCCTTGCGTGTCCATATGCCATAAGGCACATGTGAATGGACCAAGAAAGAGGGTAAAAGAAGTAGGATATGTCAAACTGGAATAAGAAAAGGAAGAAAGAGGTTGGTCGGGGAGAGGGGGGGG